AGAGATAGGGTGAGGAGCTGGGACATCCGGAGGGAGCTCAGAGTAGAGCCACTGCTCCTTCTCGTCGAAATGGGTCAGTTGAGGTGGCTCGGGCATCTGATTAGGATGCCTCCTGGGCGCCTCCCGCTGGAGGTGTCCCAGGCACATCCCACTGGTAGGTTTGCCCCGGGGCCTCCTACCAGGCACGTCCCACTGGTAGGAGGCCCCGGGGCAAACCCAGAACACGCTGGAGGGATTACATATGTCGTCTGGTCTGGGAACGCCTTGAGGTCCCCCAGGAGGAGCTGAAAAGCGTTGCCAGGGAGAGGGATGTCTGGGGTGCTTTGCTTGCCCCCACAACCCGGCCCCGGATAAGTGGATGAAAATGGATGGATGGATGGAATTATTATTTTTCCTCAAAATAAATCACCTTTTAGGGGGTATTAACATACTCGAAAACATGCCAATTTTTGCATGCGCTTCAGTCGCTGTGTAAATTTACATGTGATATGGCTATCATAGGTGGGAGAGGCAAAATGGCTTGGCCACGCCCCTTAAAGAGCAGCCCCCACAGCATGTTTCATCGACATGCATGAAAATAGGTACATACCTGTATCATGCCCACATGAACAAAAAGTCTCTTGGACCCATTGCCTAAACCCAACAGGAAGTCAGCCATTTTGAACAGATCTATATCTCAATATTCAGTGAAGAGTACAGCGCCACCTAGTGGCCACAGAAGTTTGTTTTTTCAGACACTTATTTTTTGATTTACCTGACATTCACATGCTGTGGTCTATATTTCATGTATAGGAACATCACATATCATTAGTGCCTTCTCTTACTCCCTCTAGTAGGAAAAGGAAGTGGTACAAAATGTGAAATAGTCATCTCAGGACTGAATGAAGGATATGCCATCTCACTCCTTCATGTACTGTCTGACTTTGACGGAAGTGAACTGATGCGTTAGCCTGCGTCCTGCCAGCATCCCCGAGTTGCGTGAAGGTGCCAGGGCCAGTTCATCGCTGCTTGCAGCTTTAATGATTATTATTGTTATTCTTCTTCAATAGTGTTTTCGCAAATTCCCGTGAGATGGTACATCGTAGAGACATGAAAATTTTACCAATGATTGGAAGTTGTGTGCAAATGGTGCTCAAGATAGAAAATTTCCAATAGGCCAGATGGGGGCCTATTAAGGTCAAGGAAAATTTGGTTTTGAAGGGCCACCACCCTCAGACCGTGTCAGTTTGACATGAAACTCTACACACATAGTCAGGTGAAGGGGTTCTATGAAAGCCTACAGAATCCTCAAGATCTGCCCACTAGAATGTTCGCCATATTGAATTTTTTGAAAAACACCTTTTTGACATCTCCTAAGTCTCAGGTCCGATTTGCACCAAACTTTCTGTGAATCATCATGGGACGAAGGTTTGTAAAAGGTATCAAAGACTTTTTGACCTGCCATTGTGTTTTGGTGATATTGACCAATGAACTTTAGAGGGGGCATGGCTTAGCACAGAAATGGACTGCAGTTGACCAATGGGTAGTGACAGTGCTGCCAAAAAGAGCATGGCCTCTTAAAGATTTAGACAAAAATGAATAACTATCTGTCTGATTGTCATAAAACCTGTTGTTTATGTTTAATGCAGGTGTCCTGAACTGTCAAAGATTCTACCCAACTTTCAAGTTTTAAATGTCCATATTGGCTTGAACCCCAGAATTGCCACTTGCGGCTTTATTACTGTATATTTTCTTTGTTCGTGCAGTATTATCTGCATGTACCTTTGCTTTACTTGAGAGATGAAGACAGATTTCCGCTGAGGTGGACAATAATGTCAACCTAATCTAAGGTAGAGTTAGCAACAATGGCTGGTGAGCACAACGGAGCATTGAGCATCTAAGGAACCAGATATTTTTTCAGAACTTGGTCAAGACCAAAATAGAGGTAAAAAAAGAGTAACTGTTGGACTCATATTCCTCAGGTGGCCAGAAACACTAATACTAGAGTGCTTGATGTATCATGAGATACATTTTTCCTTATATGTTTGCCATAACAACTTTATACACAAATGTCAGATGTTATCGGGTTGTCCATCTCATCCTCGTGATCACAATATCTCAAGAACATCTTGGGGAAATGTCCTCATATTTGGTACAAATGTCCCCTTGGACTCAACGATGATCAATTAGATTTTAGTTGTCACAGGTCACAGGTCAAGGTCACTGTCTGTCTCATTCTTGTTACCATGATATCTCAATCTCTCACAATGAACAGATTAGATTTTGGTGGTCAAAAGTCAAGGTCACCATGACCTTGCATCCATCTCATCAAATTTGAGATGAGTGTCCACTTGGACTGAGGAATAAACTGATTAACATTTGGTAGTCAAAGGTCAGAGGTCAAGGTCACTGTGACCACACAAAACATGTTTTTGGCCATAACTCAAGAATTGATATGCTAATTATGACAAAATGTCACACAAATGTCTCATAGGATAAAATTATGAAGTGATGTCATTTTATATTCAAAAGGTCAAAGGTCAACTTCACTGTGACATTATAATATTCTGTGTGAAACTCTGGCCATTACTCAACGTCACACCTCAGGTTAAAGGAGGGGGGACATTTGGTCTGATACTGTATGGTGGCAGTTATCTTGGGTGTCCACCTTGAAACTGTTGTGACTGTATAGATCTTCTGCGCTGTCAGGGGTACGATGTGTTTGAAGCATCCATGTTTTCACAGACATGGATGTAAACTGTAAAAGAAACTTGACTGGTGCATGGAGGCATACCAACCACAGGGCGGTAATTCTAGTTTTCAGCTTGTTGTATAATTACTCTGCCAAGTGGCCAAAAAAACAATCAACAAAGCTTTAAGACTCAGGGCTCAAAGGAGCGTTTACATTAATATCACACACTTAAACCCAGAAGACGGCCAGCTGTGGCCCAGAGGTAGAGCGGGTTGTCCACCAATCGAAAGGTCAGCAGTTCAAATCCCGGCTCCTCCAGTCTGCATGTCGAAGTATCCTTGAGCAAGATACTGAACCCCAAATTGCTCCCGAAAGTGCCTCCATCGGTGTGTGAGTGCATTAAAAACTGAGTAAGCAGGTGGCACCTTGTATGGTAGCCTCGGCCACCAGTGTATGAATGTGTGTTTGAATGGGTGAATGTGACTGGTAGTGTAAAAAGCGCTTTGCGCTTTGCGTCCCGACGATGTCCCCAGAAAGAAATACAGGTCCAAGATAAGCCAACATGGACAACATTAATAGAACAGTTTGAATTTTGTAGTTTCTTTTTGGAGCCTGTTTCAGATGTTTGAGTTTCCCTGCAAGAAGATTCAAGTTTCTGTAAGGTGATTATTCACTAGTATGAAAGAAAACCAATAGCTGCATGGAAGGTAGGAAATCAATCACAAAATGTATGTTATGCTTTGATAAACCATAACCATGATTCAGCTTTATATTACTGTTTTCGATTGATAGTAATGCAAAGCTTAACCATGGTTATGGTCCTTTAAAACATGAACAAAAAGAATATAAAAGATATGAATCCACACTCAAATAAAAATTTTTATCTTTATCATCCTCTGAACTCATTAAAAGTGAACCTGGTTGCCCAGGGTGGTTTTTGAAAGTACACCCTGATAATCCAGCCTCCCAGTGCATCTCAGCCTAGCAAGCCTGCACACCATCCACACGTTTTTTTGATAAGCACAGAGCTCTGGCTGCTAAATCAGCCATCAGCATTAAATCTGGCCATGTAATCCAAGTGATCTCGAGTTAAACACTGTACACAGGCCAGTGAGGAAGATGAAAACACTTGCCAGCTCACCACAGAGAAATAGCTCACCTCTGCTATGCCACTCCATTTTCTCCAGTTGCATCAGAACACTCTGGGAGAGCTGATTGCTGAATGGTGTGGCGGGTTTTTGGGTGTGTATGTCTCATTGTGTGTGTGTGTTTGTCAGTGGTTGATGTTCCACTGTGTGAAGGAGTAAATACTCTCATCCTTAACCAGGCTGACGTGCTTGCTCATCATTCTCCTTCATCAAGACCTCTTCTTCAGGGCTCCCTCCTGTTGAACCCTCAACCCTTGGCTAAATGCTGCAGCATCTCCTTTCCCTTGTACTTTGGATCGCTTTAAGAATTATCTTACATTTGCAGTCTTTAACCTCTTTTCACCCGGTTAAATTCACTTTCTTAATCCATTATAAATCAGTATTTGCTAGCTTAATCTGCTTTGCATGCATAATGTGGTTGAGGGAGAATGTTTCCTGGATTAGTCCTTCCCCTGTATATTCCCGACAGGAATTTGAGACATTAATTATCCATGAGCACTCACCTCTCTTAGCCTTGCTGAGCTGAAACCTGTGTGGTTTCTAAAACCTGTCACAAACACTCACCTTCACTCTGCTTGGCAGGTGTGACTGAATCGTACTGGAGAAACAATCCAGCAGCTAGCTATCAATCTCAAGCACACACAGCAGTCTATACCAGCTCTTAAAGCTGCCAGATTTAGGGATTGGCCAGTACTTCATTGCTAGCCCGCAGCTGTTTTCGCATCACCATGGCAATGACAGATTGTCCAGCCCTTTTGATTTGTCACCAGGCTCAGACCATCAACCACAAAATGGTAATATGGTGAAGAGAGAGCTGATATAATGCCTTCGGGGCAGTTTGAGAGAACATGTGGGCTACCCTTTCCCCAGCATTTTAAAGATCTAATCTCCCTTTGTCAATGCAGAGGTTTTTCATGGAGCTGCTGATGTTTTAATATGCAGAACAAGAAGATTTTGGAAGCAAAAATGGAAGCAAGAATAGTTTAGATAGATAGATAGATAGATAGATAGATAGATCTATTTATGTTGCGTGTGCAGCAGGCATTTTAGGGGTCATTTTCTTTCAATTATTACCATACTGCCTTGTGCAATTGATGTGACTCATAAGATCATAGCAAAATTAAAACCACAGAAATGTTCTTAACTGCTTCTTGTTCATGTTTGTGTCTGCCTGCTTTCAGGTCTACTGACTATGGCACCACCTACACCAAACTCAACCTGATGCCAGGAACTACTATTGTGGTGACCAGCTTCTATATCTGCCCAACCAACAAGAAAAAGGTAGAAATGTCCATTTTGTACATAAGCTTGCTGAAATGCACTCCTGATGTGGTCATCTAGCACTGGCATTTTTAGATGAAAAATGGCAAAGTTCGTTCTTGTGTGAGCTGGAGATCTGAATTTCATTGGCAGGCTGGGTAGGAATTACAAGACATCTAGATGAGATGTAACGGGTGTGACTGAACCCAAATGCAGCACTCTGAGGCAGGCAGACAGTTGGTAATGACTTATTATATACAAAAGGTAACATGAAAATGAGCTGACAAATAATTCTTCAGGCGCAGAGCCCCTACACAGTCTCTGGGTTCAGGATCCAGGGAATGAGCTGACAGGTAGGTAATAGAAGGACACACACACAAGGCAATGTGTGGTGTCTCACAGCAGGCGGCTGACAGCAGGTGGGAACACTCACTTTGTAACGTCATAGCAGGAAAACACCACACAACCACAGGCAGACAGCAGCCAGAGATGCTGAGGCCAAACTCGTGGTCAGGGACAGAAGGCTGGTGAGTTTACAGATAAACAGATGACGTAGACAGGTCAGGAACAAGCAGGGTTGGTACCAGGGAATCAAGCCAGGAGTGAGTGCTGGAATGTCTTGCATGAGATAGAAGAACAATCTGGCAGTGAGTGTGTGGAGAGCAGGAGTCTATATACTGAGCCAGTCAGTGATTGAAAGCAGATGAGTGGAGTTGGGCTCATTAGGTGGCAGGCTGAGTGAGCAGGTGAGCAGAGTTGCCTTGATGAGATGGGTGTGGCTGGCAGTCAGAGGTGGGGTAAATGGAAAAGTACTGCATGAGGTGAGCAGAGGAGCAGAACTGTGATGAAAGATTTGAAAAAAAAAATCCACTCTAACTTAAGGCAAAGTACTGCTTTAAATTAGATAGTATTAACGCAAAGAAAAATAAAAAATCTATTACTATAAGAATATTGCATTACTCATTCATTTCTGTAACTGCTTATCCTGTTAGAGCTTGTGGGTGTGCTGGAGCTTACCCCAGCTGACATTAGGCGAGATGTGGGGTACACCCTGGGCAGGTCGCCAGACTATTGCAGGATATTGCCTTATCAGAGTAAAAATACCCCTCTGAACCACCTTAAAGGTGGCTGTGGTTCAGGAGGTAGAGCAGTTGTCTTCTAATCTGAAGGATGGTAGTTTGACCCCTGGTGCCCAAGTCTACATGTCCAAATGTCCTTAGCCAAGATAATGAGCTCCAAATTGCTCCTGATGGCTGTGCCATCAGTGTGTGCATATGTGTGAATATTTAGCTGTAGAGCAGGTGGCACCTTATAAGGTAGTCTGTGTGTGTGTGAATCACGCCTGTGTTGTAAAGTGCTTTAGTGGCTGCTAAGACTAGAAAAGTGCTTTATAAAAGCAATCCATTTAACATTCACTTAAAGGTGCACTTCAAAACCATCTTCAGATTAATTAACACTTTGGATTGAATAAGACTCTATGTGTAGGACTTGAAAATGTATGATTTTGTTGTCACATGTGGGCATATAAAGTACCCAGCCTTGTCACCAGGTAAAACTTTGATATCAGTGGTTTAGTGAAAATGGTTAGGGTACACTTGTGGTTATGGCAAGTAAACTATCTTCAAAAAAATCAAATTTCAATGAGGCTCTACTCTCAGATGTTGTCATGATTGATAAGGGTTGGGGGAAGTCTGAAAAAGCTGAATTTAAGAATTTTAGTTTACTGCCATAGTTTAAAGCAGACACTTGTAGTTTGTTTTTGTTTGCTACTCAAAATGTCATGGGCTCATTTCTCTGGGTCGTCCAGCAGGACAGTAGCAGTATTCATGTTGACACTGCACTTTTTTTTCTTCTTCTTTTTTGAGTGAGTCATTGCTGCACTTTCAGCGGCTTTCTACCTACTTTTTTAAAAAAAATAATTTTCATTGTGCAATAAGACGTTTACAAAAAGAGTGAAGACAAGTACATAAACAAGAAACAGATAAACAGATTATATAATGTGGGACCAAGACAAAAGACCAACCAAAAAAAAGACAAAAACAAATATGAAAGATTACATCATGATTTGAGACTTGTGTGTCAGAATCAGAATCAGAATCAGAAATACTTTATTGATCCCCGAGGGGAAATTATTTATGTTACAGGTGCTCCTTGCAAGACAGGAAAGATACATGAAAATATAAGAAATTTAAACAATAGTATTAACAAATATATAGTTAAATAAACAGGAATTATTAACAAACATAAACGTAAATTATATATGTAT